GTCAGAACGGTGCGTAATGCTCATGTGAACTTTGAATTTGATCATAATACTAGCTACTTCCGCGCGGTTTCACATGCTCTGATCTGCTCCTATTGGTCGTAGTGTGATGTTTTGTAGCCTATAGCCATCCTCTATAAATGCGCTATCCAACACAAAAAGAATTATTCCAATTAAACTTGCAGTTACGGAGATATTAGCGCGTTCAAACAAACAAACTCTTCCGCTTTATATGTATAATAGTATAAAATAAGATATAAGATTAACTTTACCAGCAGCTTCTCCCCTTAGTTCCTGGAACATGGGCAATTTTTTGTCCTGAAAACTCTCAACATTCCATTCCAGAGCATAATCTATCTCTGGACCAAATTGAATCCCAATCTATTCAGTAGTGTAGCGTAAAAGGTTATCAAACATACATCGTTACAGACTCTCGCATTTCGGATCCTCCCGTATCAGTCACTTTAACATTTATAATATTAAAACGATTCTATCTCCAACGCCAACAGAACAAAATCTTAAGAACCATCGCGGAAGTACCATGGTACATAACCAACAATGAATTACACAATCACCTTGAAATGAGAACAATCAAGGAAGAAATTAGGAGCTTTGCAGCTAAATATCAAGAACGGTTAACCCGACATGCTAACGAACTCGCTCGCCAACTCACCATGAACCAGTATGTGAAACGTTTAAAACGACACCACATCCTAGAACTCGAAGACAGACAGTAGGTCTAGGCAGCAGATGAGTACAGCTTCCAATGGGAAGTCACTCCGCATGACAGATCGCACAGAAGATTTGCTCTGATTGCAAATGTATTTGGAAAAAAAACAACGATTCTCTTATTAGAGTTTTAGACTTTGCCCGTAGCAATACAAGTCTATTATTAGCTAAGTAAGACTGAGTAAGCAGCTTTAGTTGTTCCGGATGGCTAGTGTCATTGTGCTGCACTGCATCTCAAGAGCAACGTGACTCCAAACATAAACAATATGGATAGGGAAATGGCGACGCGCGTGGACAGTGCGAATGTGTACCTGAATGCCATGTAATGCTATACTGTTACTATGTCTAACGGGTAACCGGGGCTCCGGCTCGACGTGCAGGAGAAGGAACGGGGTGGTTTTTAGTCAGTAAGAGTCTGACACTCCCTTCCGCCTCACCCAGGCGGGAGCAGTCATACGATGATTTTCCCCCCTTAAAAAAAAAAAAAAAAAATACTGTTACTATGTACCTACTGTAGAACATCAATCTATAATACTGTTTTCAGTACCTATATCTACTTAATCTTATACCATTACTAGAGGTATATGTATAAAGCGGAAGAGTTTGTTTTTTTTTGTTTGTTTGTTTGTTTGTTTGTTTGTTTGAACGCGCTAATCTCCGTAACTACAAGGCTGATTTGAATAATTCTTTTTGTGTTGGATAGCGCATTTATTGAGGATGGATATAGGCTATAAAACATCACGCTACGACCAGTACGAGCTGAGCAGAGCGTGTGAAACCGCGCGGAAGTAGCTATATCAAGATATTCACTAACAAATTTGTTATACAACTGAAATTAGGTTATGATTTCTTTTACTTAATCATGGCACTTGTAGACCTAAAGGTACAATGACGAATAGGGTTTTACAAACGGAAAAAGTATGTTTCGGACTTTACTTTCGACTTTCCTACAGACGACGTATCGTTCATCTATGCGCCTGTGTTAATCATCAATAGATAATCTAAGTTCAAGCTGTCCTTAGCCTAGTAACCTAAAATAGATACATTTTTGTGTCCTTATTGTAGTTACCCATCTATATATTATGAAATAATAAATGCATGAAATGATTTATGACTGTTGATGAAGCGAAAGAGGGATGTAAGAATCGTAGCAATTGGCGTTCTATAGTCTACCAACCCTCATGGAAAACAGGCGTGAAGTTATGCATGTATGTATGTAAATAATAATTAAAAAAACAGTTTGCAATACAAAGGAGCGGCTTTAAACCAATTTTTCAATAATATCAACTTACCTACTAATCATCAATTCTACGAAGCCAGTCAATGAACTACGTGCACTTTTGATTTGTATATTATGATTGAGTTGCACTTTTATAGGTGTCAAAAAGCATGCAAGCATGGTAATAGATATTATTATGACAGGTAGTGCAATGACCCTGCTCGGAAGTCTACCTGCCGTGACTAACGTATGAATAAATTGAAAAGACACGTGGTTAAAATAAATATAATTTTATAAATTAATCAAAACATTCATCCTTTGAACATGAGCATTCATCTCAGTAAAATTCAACAATCTAAGGTGTTTTAATAAATTGTTTATTATAATTTAAGTGACGTTCAATGAATGTATAAAACTTAGAAGTATCTACCTTGGATTTGTTGGCTGTTTTTGTCTCACAATTTTCAAAACACTTGTTTGACCGTTATTATATTGGGCAACGTAGCAAGATGCTACCTTTGTCCTCCAAGGAAAAACATGTTTCGTGTCATGTACTACTTTTTATTGCATAAGACATAGGAGCGAAATTGCAAAACAGCAGAATTAAGTCGGTCGAGTAAATGATTCTCGCTGATTTTTATGAAATACGCTGTCAGGATTATTTTCTTTACTTCACTTAGCGACATAATTGTCCGAAGCACTATTTGAAGCAGTCGTTTGCAAATGTGCTGTGTATATTACTACGTGATACGGGAGGTTTGTGTTAAAGAAGTATTAATATCGTGTAATATGAAGTTGAAGAAAACAGTGACATGTTGTATGAGAGGGAATTCTTTCTGTATCAAATACAGCACCAAAATTATGCCCCAGGTAATTGCACCTTTTATTATCAGAAACTCCTTTTTTAAATTTATGTAATTATCAGCTAATAATCATGTTAAACTGTCAAACACCAAGCGGTCACCGGTGACCGCGACCTATTGTTCTTTAATTGTGTCTATAAAACCGATACTCGACGAGTTAAAGAGTTGGATACCAGAATGTAAGACATTGTTTTACGGCAATAAACATTTGTGAACCAAACTAAGTTTACTACGCCCACATCAAACGCAAATGTGGTACTTATGGCGTATGTTATAGTAACCAAAACAGCTAATTAAACACAAAATTAAATCGTATCTTTCATTTATTTGCGTCATCATTTGTAAAATCTTATCTGATGCCTGAATGGGTCGTCAATACGAGTATTGGGTAATTTATCATTATATTAATCTTTATTGAATAGTCCAATAAGACATATTTTCCAATGTTTTCATGACTTGACATGTTTCATTTTAATTACAACTATTTTATAGTCAAATATTTTCTAGAATTTATCAAATTTTCTGATGCAAACCTTTCGAAATCGATTTTATTTAATTTCATTATTCGTTTATTAGGTATCTATAGTTAATCCGCTATATTTGCAATTATACGTTAAAATTTTCCATTTACCGTCATTATGATTTTTAACCTTTTTCGCTCTACGATGACAAAAATATCAATGCAAAAAATAGCAATTATATACTCAAAACATATTAGACATAGGAATTATTTTAGCGTAGAGTGCAGTATTTTCATCTGCTATACCTATATTCGCCAATGTTAGACACTGCATTCGCCTTCAGTGAAATACGTTGTATCTGCGAAATAAATCCAAATGTATCATGTCCCCTTGCATGGTCGGCGCCAGTTGTCCCGACAGCCGTCGCCCCTCTGATGTGTCACTCCTTTCTATTTCGAAACAGGCGCCAATGAGTACCACCTATGTCCACCTTATCCTTCAAGACTGGGTGATGAGATGAAAATAAAATATCCACAATTCTATGAAATTTAATCATTCTTGAATAGTATTTCTTTCTTTGTCTGTTATTAAAACTGTTTATTTTTGTTGTCAGACATTTTTCATGTACTTTTCTCTTTGTTTTTTAATTTTTTCTGCGTCTCCGTGTTTATAACGTTTTCAAAGTACACCATAAAAATGTTGTTATTGTAAAAGGTCGTGTCCCCAGTATTTTGTTCATAATACACATTAGTTACGAGCTTAGTGCAGTTACTGCTATTTTCATAAACAAGGTTATTGAGAAATAGAGTTAAAACAACTTGGCTCTATGTTTTGGTCGAGCTTTGAAGTTTTGACTTTAATTCTTATTAAATAAAGTACTATCAAGCAAGAAAGCAATAAATGCTAAAATGTTGCTAAGACACAATAATAATTAATGTATACATACAAAGATGAATTAAGTTATTATTAACGTTTTGTTTTTAAAATAATCATCCATAAAAAAATAATTACAAACATTGTAAGTCCAAATTTGCAAGTAGATAGTGGCTTTACCATACGTAGCGTCACTACATCGCATACACACCAAACATATATTATGAATATATTCCATGCATTATGTTCTATACATACATACAACTGTCGTGGTTATGTAATACGCAGCGTGAGCCGGGTTATGCTATCACTCTCTACGCATGCGTGAAACATTTAGGAGCGAGTGAGACAAAGAGGCAGGCGGGGGGAGAACCTACGTATGAATTGATAAAAGCAACTGTTGAACGCGACGAAAATTCAGTTTGAAAAGAAACAGCGCGCGGCGTCCCGTACAACGTGGCTCGTAAACAATCGCGGCGAGGTTAAGATGTGACAGCGATATTGTATGAGTGCTTCGAATTATATTTTAATGCTGTTTTATAGTGTGTACTATCGAATTCTGAACACAGTAGCAACGTAAGAGACAGACCGTCGCGACGACGACGGTGACGTGGACGCGTCGCGTCCAAGGATTAAAAGTTTATTGCGACGAAAACCACTTCGAACAAAAACTTTTGTAGTGATCTTAATGCGTACCGTACAATTGTAATCATAAAGTGTTACTACAGCTTCACTCTCACGGCTAAACACGTGATCGTCGAAAATTCTCGAAAATACAATAAATTATACGTTTTATTTAACTATTACTCTATTTGGTTAGTGTTTGTACGTCCCGGATTTTGTGTTTTTGGCCAAATTATGGTTGTGACGAAACTCGATAACATGGCTTCATACTCCACATACACGGGAAAACCGAAAATATTTTTTCCAAAGAAGGTAAGACACTCCTCCTTACTTATCAAGTGAGTCGTAAGTTAACTCAAAACGACATGGTAACAGATAGCAAGAAGCGATGTAAACAAACACCTTTACATTAATTATTCCGCGTAAGTGATTAAAGTCAATGGAGATCAAAGAAGTTCTACCTGTAACTAGAAATAATTAAGTTTTACAATGCAGGTTTCCAAGAAACTCCATTTTCTCTTTCAGCAATGTCCATGCTTCTTAGCTAGAACAATTTAAAAGCGATTTTATGTTAATGGGGTATAATTTAAATATTGGAAAGAGAACAGAATATTTTAAGGATTGAAAAGACAGCAGATTTACACAAAAACAGTAGTTCTAACAATATCAAGTAGTCTGATGCAGACAAACTTTCAGGATAAAATTAAAATTACAAAATTTTTGCACAAAATTCAATAGTAGAAATTGCTATCTGAACATAATGTATAGCGGATGTAGATAAATTAAGTGAAACGATAAATATAAAATGCTTCACTATGAATTTATTAATCTCCATATAAACTATGGAACTAGTTTTTTAACTTGATCTAAGTATTTATCGGAGTACTTTGGAGGTTTACTTGAGTCTCTTTTATAAATTAAAGTTATTTAATTGATTACTTACAATACCATAGGTACAAATTCCATGGCAGTACTATGAACTATGTACACATACATTTATCGGCATGTGAATGATAATGTTTCACGTAACCTATGATTCAGTTAAAGTGTAAGACGTTCCACTTAGCCGACCTAGTTCACAAAATATTCACATTTTGGCCTTGGCGGGATTCTCGGTAATGGCAGCAGGCCATTGTTGGTTTTGATGATACTTTACCAGAAACAGCACATGCACAAAAAACTTGACAAAAAACCATTTATAAAGTGGTTAGTTAATTAATATTATTTACTTATTTCCTGTTATAAATTAAGGTTTGTTAATTTTCTCTGCGCTCTTGTTCACACGCAGCATCCGTGTTCGTTCGAGATACTGGTTATTACACAAGGTCCCCTGTGCAATATCGGTGACCTACAAATGCACTGAGTCGTCAGATTGAACTCACAGTCAGCGCTGTTAAGGACTAAATTCTTCCACCACAAACACAGGTCAAAGGGTAGGACCGTTCCCACATCTGGACAAACTTGCGAGACAAATGAATGTAGGCCTTGTTGTTATAATAACAAGAAATTAAATCGTGATTAAATATTGTTTCCTTTTATATGAGCCGCCCTCTTTGATAAGCGTTAACTGCGCATTCACATCGGACCTCCGGCTTTATGGCTATACATTAACTGCAGTCTCGCCGTGTATGGTGCAAAATTATAATTGATTGCCTTCTATATAGGCCACCGTTGGCATTGTGGTCTGGAGATAGGAATCAAAGGACGCCGTAACAATTTTTATAGCTAATGCAGGTATTTCGCGTACGTGTATAAAACTATCTGCATCAATACTTCTAACTCGCAAGAATAACAAAGACAAGTGTTTCCAAACGACGTTATAGTTGTTTGTAATTAAATACGTGATTATTCATAGACCGCATCGGAAAATTTAGAATTCTCTGTAAATGTCTTGTAATAGTCATTATTTCCAAAAGCAAAGCCAAGTAGGTGTCAACTCTTATAGGTGGTAGAGCAATTATAATGTGAATAATTGAATAAACATTTTGGTCTCGTAATTAAACATTTCCAAAATAAGGTTTGAAATAAAAAAATCCTCCACGTATATCGTTTTATGTGCTATCCAAATAAAGGAAAATCATCTGCGTATGGGTTACGTGTCAATCAGCAGGTATCCAAATATTTCGTTTATCATTAACTTGCAAATCCTGATTCATCAATAAGAAATTCACATCATAAATGTCCCGTAAGGACTTTTTGTGGCACCATAAATGGGTGTTCCAGTGAATGAGGAGTCCCAGTGCATTCCCCGCGCGTCATTATGGGCGTGTGGATACAGTGAAGGGAATGCTGCTCGGGATCCGTAAGGTTACAAATATGCAGTAAGGAATGCGCAGACCATCTTCCTTGCTTTTCGTAAAAAGCAGTTAGATATTCGTTTTAGGAAGTAGATAAATATTACACAGTTATCTATTTCACATAGTTACGTCGCATATACCTACTAATTTAATAAGGATTTGATTTTATCAGTACCTACGATTTGTCATCAGTGTGGGTGGATAGCATAATTGCTTTATAAATGATAATAACAAACCATGTCTGTACCCAACTAAGCAATAATATAGTAGTACTTCCTGTGTAAGAAAATGTAATCAGTGTCATTTGTGCGCACAATCGTAATTTTCCGGCAGGCAGTAATTCCTGTCTGAGCATAGACATAACAGTTATAATGATGAAAATGTAGACTGTGTAGGAATTGGCCTTAAGTAACTGAAGAAGGATGATGGTTTCGATTTGATCAAAAGTGATTGCATTCAACAAGTGAACTTTCCTCGGAGGAAGCGACGGTGGGCGCCAAAAATAGCGTTTCCGCCGAACACCGAGCACTCTTAAGTAGGAAGTCGACTAACACTCGACGGTCTACTTTTCCGGCCGCCTACAGCTGTCTCGACGCTTATTGAGTTTACAACGCACTTATGAGCTGCAATGTGCCTACGCATTGTCTCTTAAGCTGAATTAAATTGCTCATACTTTGAAATCATTGTCCATTAAGGGATTCATTCAGACAGTTTCAAAGAAATGCAAACTTGATGACCTTATGCCCATTCAGTGATGCAACCAGCTATACCTTACTCTCAGTGAATTCATTGCTTTAATATATTAGTTAATAGAACTACAGTGACAAGTGCACGTAAATGGAAACTGACCAATAAACAGATAGCAAGTTATTTGAAATGAACATTACTAAATTATAAGTGAATATGCAACTTTACACTTCTAAGAGAACGTAGGCAGAATACTATCGCAAAATTAAACGGAACACTGCATCTGCGTAGGTTGAAGATATGTATAAAACCAAATAAGGAACTACGCAACGATGATGCATAATTTTCCGTAGAAACGACTTTGGTTTTGTTTTTTATCCTCTTTTTGGCACATACAGACATAAAAGATTCGCATAATGTTACTTCCGATATAATTAAGTATAGCATACGCTGATATTGCGATTCTGATCTAAAATAAGAACGTATAAACCTAACCTGAGGTCAGATAAAGGACGACAAGTAATAGTTTTAAATAACACAAGTGTTACATTTATTTGTTTACTGGAGGTAATAATACTGCCATGTTCGCTAGCCAAATGATGGAAATAAATTCATTCAGCTAACATTATAAAGGTGACACTAACAATTAGCGGAAATTACACTTCAGACACTCGGTGATGATTATGACGTACATAACATCGCGCCTTTTATCCCCGAAGGGGTAGGCAGAGGTGCACATTACGGCTCTTAATGCCATTGTACAATTTAACACCCACTTTTCACTATTTATGTCCCATGTAATAGGGGGTGATCCTATTGCCATATACCGGGCACAATTTATTTCAGACTCCGTGCCACTACCGAGAAATTTAACAAACTAGTAATACTTTGCCTGGGTATCGAACACCTCTTGCCCGGCAGTCGCACTTACGACCAGTGAGGCAGTCAATGATGAAGAATATGAATGATTATAATAATAATTTGTGCATTTTTAGGACCACACGTGGCAATCACATGTTTGTGCAACTTTGTACTTTCTTTCCTGATTAGTCTTGGTTTTTTAAACGAACGTTAATTAATCAAACAGCGTTTCTGTGGTGGCATTTCTGAGAAAAGATTTCTTTTACATCCTTAATTCAACTATACTTAGTTTATTCCTGAATTATGGATGAACTTTCCATCATTATTCATTACCACATCCTTCTTTTGGACCACCAACGCGTTTGATAGATCCATAATTTGTAGTGAACAATACGATAAACATTTGAATATATTACAAATGATACTCAAACATTATTATAATTGTCACCAACCCGTATCAATCTACTGCTGGACTCCATAATTGTTAGACGGCTTGTCATATCCAGTTTTAAGGTTGGAAATCGCAGTTTAAAATACTTAGATTCATCAGAGACAAACAATGAACTTGCAGTCGCTTAGTCAGCTTTTGCAACAACCGCAAGAAGCTGCATACCTATAGTCCACAATACAGACGATTTTATTTGATTTGAAACATAAAGATGATAAATGTATTCTGAAGATTGTGCTCCGCGGGCTCGCAGCCGCGGGTTGCACCCGCGCGCGCTGCGATCGGTTAGCGGGCGATCGCAATGGGATGGGCGGTCTGGAATTGAACTGCAGCTGCTGTAGCCAAATGCCATTTAGCGCTTGTCTACATGTAGAATAGAAAACCAAATTATATGGAATTAACGTAAATTTTGACACTTGTCAGTGTCATCCCCATACATTTAGTTTTCTACTCTCTCTGTAGACAAGCACTAAAGTGGCGTTTGGCTAAAGGCACTGATTGTTTTACCGCCCGCGTCTTGCGATAATCATCCGCCAAGTTTGCAGGACCGCAAAAAACTGCGGTGTGAGTTTTGAAAATTCCACCTTCATTCGGGAAGAAAATCCCGCCTTAAGTCCTTTGCCTAACAATCGAAAATCTGTTATACGACAAATGAAGTATATAAACACTAGCAGGTAAACGAACTATGAGTCATGGACACAGAAATATTTTGATGACTCACAAGAAACGACAGATGAACAAACACGCACTCACCCCTAATATCGGTTATTAAGCCGTTAGACAATAAAATTAAACAATAATACCATTATCTCTTTACGATATTGCAATTTAAGAGAAAAATAAGGAAATAATACAGAAATATTTATTTTCTATCTTGTTTTTCTGCTTATCTCCGTCCTTTCTTTTACTTAGAATTATTGTAATACGTGCTACATCATTTGCTCTATCGAGTTTACATTGCAATAAGAATAATGCAACTAATTTGTTTTCACAATTAATGCTCGTTATTTCATACACAT